TAATGTAATCATGAAAATTAATAAGTTGCAAATTCTAATGAGTGTTGTGAATTAATTTTTCCTAATATACGCTTCATTGAATATATATTGTACGGGCTATACTCTATGGTATTAGATTATTGTACTTCTGTTTTTTTGAAAATGTTGAATCCTACAAAGTTATTTTTATTTTAATATTTAATTAGATAAGGTGTAAAATTATATGCTCGGACTGCTCTTTCCCGTGCGTATGCACGGGTACTAGACTAGTTTTATATCAAAACTAGTCTTTCACCCGTGCCTTGCACGGGATAATAGACTAATTCTAAAGTGTCTTGACAATGCCGAAAATAAGATAAAATATTAGATTTTTTAAAGATAAAACAACTTGTACATTCAAAAAATAAAATAAAACAACTTGTAAATGACTCGTTTCAAATAAAGTTCGGTTCTCTTTCATTATTGTTGTGTTAAGAAAGCTTTAGAGAGAAGCAAAAGAAGAAAGCATACCAGATATTGCATTTTATCTCTTATTGTTATCACTAAGTTCTTTGGTAAATAGACCATAACACAAAGAACACCAACGTGTTAGGAATCTTATACGCAATCATTTGGTGAATATAGATTTGTTCTTAGTCTTCATACACACCTCAAAGAGATGATACTCGTATATTACAGAATTATTTCCACTTTGTTGTGAACTTCTATGGCGATTAAGTCACTTCCCGTGTTAGTGAAGAAGTATTGGTTTTCCCAATTTTGGTGCTACAATATTAAACTTTTTTGCCTTTTGGCCTTTTTTGTCTTATGTCTTGCTAAACACTCAGCAAAATCTCACATTAAATTAGATTCATTTTACACATTTTTAAGAGCATTTCTATCATTTAAAAAGTATTTTTGAAACTCCGTAGTTTGAGGGACTAAAAGTTACATGTGAGCCGATATAAAGAAGAAACACTTAGCATATAGATTATGAACCCGTTTGGTAAAATTAAAATTGGCTGAATTGACGAATTATGCTGAAATTTATGAAGTTCTGGCTGAAGTGGTTGTATTGGTTGATTCTGTTGATTCATGAAAAATTTATATTTAAAATATTTATTATTAATAAATTAAATAAATAATTATATGAAAAATAGCTAAAATGATCCTCTACAGTAACTTCAGCCAATACAGCAAGAAAAGTAACTCCAACCTTACTTTTTCGGCTTATTACAAAATTCAGCGCACGGAAGCACAAAATTATATGATTGGTGAAAAAGTTGGTTGATAAGCCTGATAAGACGAAAAGATGGATCACCAAACGGGCTCTATGTGCATGAGTTTTAGTCAATATCCAGTTTAACATCCAAAAAGTCACTTTGCTATCCAAACTGTATGTATACTTGAGAACGACCACCTTTAGAAGTAAAAATAACACATTTATAAACATTATCAATAGAGTATACGCATAATATAATGCTACACCTAATTATTATAGAAATGCATAATTGGTTAAGCCGTTACAGAACATAATTGGTTTCAAATATTTCAGAGACTCACGAGTTGGTATAATATATTATTAAATGTGACAATTCTACCATTCATGCATGTTGATGTGTATATGCGTGTATATTTTTTTATACACACATAAACACAACATTACTAATCATGATTATGCAAAAATATTGATAAAACTACAATTTTTATGTCCCCGCCTAGGCGCCTAGCTCCTTTTAGAACATTGCAATTACCCGACCAATTCAGTTACAGTTACCGGATCCGACCAATTACAGTTACCGGATCCGATCAGTTACAGTTACTAGATCCAACCACTCACCAAATCCGACCAGTTACCCAATCCAGCCAGTTACAGTTACCCGCCTGACTAATTACAATTACTCGTTTCAACCGTTTATAGGTACTCGGTTCAACCATTTAAAATTACCCGACTAGATTAGTTATACGATCCGATCAGTTATAAATACTCAATCCAATCAATTACAATTATTCGGAGCCGATAAATTACAGTTACTTGGACCGTCCAGTTATAGTTACCACACGGACCACTTATGGTTACCTGGTGACCACCGCTAGCCACCACCGGCTGCCAGCCACCGCCCCTACCAACTGCTCTGTCAGTTAACCCCTCACCTCTCCGGTGGCCAACCGTCTCTAGCCCCAACCCCAACCCGGCTCCAGCCTCCCCAACCCCCTGCCACCACTGCCACCGCCCAGCCCTCTCCCCAATCTTGCACAATCGCGGCCCCACCTCCTTACCCCGCCCCTGTAACCACTGCATCCCACCGCCGTACCCCGCCCCCAGATCCAGCACTGACCAGATGAACCCTAGCCACCCGACGGATTCAACATGACCTAGTCCATTTTTATTTGAATTGAAGACTACACTCTTTCACTAAGTGCTCATTTGATGATGTGGAAATGCAACCCACCGTTGCATTGGAGATGACTTAAGGAATGGGAAAAGCTAGCAAACAGTTTGGACATGAGGGATAGGGGCCTATCAGTCCGATCTGTAATTATCTAGTTTTTTTTTGTCAATTCAAATCCTAGTCCTATTTTTATCCAATCAAAAGTCCATGGTATTATTTTTATAATTGTTTCAACAGAGTATTTTTTCAATAGAGTTTTTTTTGAAATTATTATTGAAAGTTTGAAGCAAAATACGGCTAGAGTTAACCAATCACATGCCAAAAAATTGAATACAATTTATTCGGTAGTATAATTGGAATTACTATTATAAAAAATGGTAAATATACATAACTAAACACATTTTTGTAAACAACAATTTTTACATATTTATGATTAAACTCAAAATTTTAATTTACAATTTTATTGTAATAACTTTAACCACAATAATTTATGTTCAATTTTTACCATTAACTGATCATGACATCATACTATACTACTCCGTACTATAGTAATTATTAGTCATAATTTTGTAAATTAGTTTTATTTTAGTAACATTTTTTATTGTAACTTTATTTTCTCATAAATTAAAGTTTGAATTGTGATTTTGATTACAATATTAGAAAAATGGCTTACAGTGATACTAAATTAGTATCACTAAAAGTTTTAACGATACTAAAAAAGTGTCAAAAAATGAGGGCGAGTAACACTAAATTTAGTATCACTGATTGCTAAACAGACTTTTGTCATAAAATTGTGACATTATGATATCATGCATAATTGTGATATTATAGTATCATTAATCATTTTGAGACGTTTTCATCATAAATCTAAATGATACATTGGCATCACACATTGTATATATAGCAAAAAAATGTCAATCCCTTACTAGCTTTACTTTATTACTTCAATTCTAACAAAGAACCAATCAAACAAACATTTGTAATAATTTTAAATTGTCATTTATTTAAATAGTAAATTTGAATGGACATTGGTTTGAATTCACTCCAATTTATTTTTGTTGACACTGTTGCTAGTACGGATTATTTTTATTGACATTTTTAGTATGAATTATTATTATAGAATTCCTAAAAGTATGAATTATTCTTGTGAATTTCACCAATATTAAATGGAATAACTTCAAGCAAATCACTATAATATGCTCTGGATTTCTTTTAGAAATTTACATTTAAGTAATCTTATTGTACTATTTTTTTAAAACATATGTTTAAAGTTTGCGATGCATTTAACCCCCACTATAATTATGCGACTCTTCTTACTAGTTACTAGAGGTCTTTTAGTTATAAGAGTATATATAAAAAAAACTTATTCATTCACTCTCTTCCAATTATCCTATCTATATTTGAATTCATATATGAATTAGGAGCATTCATGTCTGAATTAGGATGCTAGATCACACCATGGCCGGTGGACGGTGTGAGTTTAAACAACGAAACTACATGGACGCGGCACATGCAACTCTATGAATGGGGAAATTTGAATGAATATATTTCTTACACGTGCACAAGGATATGCATATGCCGATGATATGCTTTTGTTGAAAAACACCACACTACTGGGGAAAGAGCATTTCCATCATTTCTTAATACAAATGAAATAATGGACTATCTTGTGCAAAGGTATGATGAGTTCAAATGGAAAAAAGTATTTCATCTTTGAGATGTTTTTCTTCTAGCACTTTTCATGAGAAGACATTTGCTACTATATATAATACAGACCTTTTCCAATGCATTTCCATTTTAGTGATTCCAACTTGGCATATCTTTTCCTTTCTTATTCAAAACTTCAATATGCTAATGATGTTTTGCTCATTGTTTTTTTTTTTAATTTTACTAGATGGTCTAGGTAATATATACGGAGTATATATTTTGACATCTAAAGTTAATTCGATTCAGTTCTTGACTCGTCATTTAAAAGAACCGTTGACTCGTTTAGCATTCTAGGAGATTATGTACAACTTTATCGGAGCTTTTCCAAAACAGGACTGCTATATTTTTCTTCCCAATATAGGAATAATATAGCAATATTTAATTTATTGTCATCTTTTAATCAATACTACCAAATAGTTGTAGTACTAGACATTTAACATGACAATATTTATTATAATTAATGACAGTATTTTTCAATCATGTGACTATTTTCATTCATGACATTAACATCTCATGTGTTTGGAAGAAACACATAACATATCTATTTTGGAATTTCAAAACCTATTTAGGATGTTTTTACTTGGACCGAATTCGGTCCCAGACCAGATCAGTCCACCAAATTATAGTCCGAGTAAAAACATCCTTAGCTTACTTCTGTTTAGGGCAACTTTCCTAATAAATTTCATTATTAAATGAAACGTATTGGATAATTCCATTTCTCTTCGGATTAGGTAAAGAAGTAAGTATTGTTTATCCATGTAATTTTACATTTCCTTGTATGAGAAAATGCTAAATCAACCTATAAACATATATAGAAACAAATTAAACTGCTTTATCATGTACAAAGTATGTATGTGTATTAGTGTGTCTACATGAGCATGTAACGTTCATGGAAAGCTCATATATAATAAGCCCAAATCAGATCACCCCTCTCCAGTCCCACTACATAGTAATCATATGATAATCATGTGTTTTCTTGACAAAACCCCAAAGTTATATTCCTCCTTCATGGTTTTACTCTCTTTTGCTATAATAGCAATGCAACTAGGAGCTGTAAGTGCTGGACATAGAAAGGTTGTGAGGATTCTTGATTTGATCCCACCCAATAACAATGTCCAACCTTCAACAGGAGAAGTATTAGTGCATTGTCGGTCTAAAAACAACGATTTAGGGGTTTGGAATATGACTCAAAATACCCAGAAAGAAATCCACTTCCGCCCCAACATATGGAAGATTACTCTCTTCTGGTGTGACTTTGGCTGGGGCACAAAGGCCCGGGGCATCATCGTATACGACGCCAATGATGTTTCGTGCGATGGGGAAAGGTACTGTAATTGGAATGTGAAGACTGATGGATTTTACTTTGCCAAAGGGGAGTTTCCTAAAGAAACTGATTTCACAAAGATGTCTGATTGGAGAGGCGCTAGGAAACACCGATGTAGCCACCACCGTGGTCGCGGGCGACACCACTAGATCAGCGCATGCGGCGGGTAGCCTAGTGTGCTATTCTGCAATGAATATATATATATATATATATATATATATGGAGTATATATTACTAGTATTGTATAATAAGTAAATGAAATCTGCTACCAATGCATAATAATACTAAAAGAATAATGCTTGCATTATTAAATGTGTCAATATACGAGATAATAATACACATCACACATTATGATATATCCCAAATCCCCATACACACATATTTATCTTTATATATTGAAAGCAAACTTGGTAATAGTTTTTTATGTTAAATTGCTTCTTGAATTGATTGGATATAATTTGCTTTCAAAGAAATCCCATGAATAAAGATGAACCTATTAAGAGAATAAAATTAATTACCATATATAGGAACAATAGGGTGGATATATTATAGTCCTTTATAACTGAGTTGTTATACCTGGGAGCATCCATGGTGAGCATGGTGCTCCCACAGCTAAGGCGTGCGTGGACAACAACTTTTTTTTATCTTAGTAGCAGGGTGATGTAACTCGCATATAAAAAAATGTAACTCAAGTTGATAAAAATATAACTATAGGCAAGTCGAAATGTAAATTGTATAAGAAATAAAATATGATTTCAATGTAAACCATGAAAAAGAAGTCTAATTTTTCAATTACTTTACATAAATAGTGAATATGTTTTGTTTTTAATTTAGTTGTAATTTAATTAGTCCAAATGTTATTAGTTAATTACATTTGGACATGTTAATTACGTAAAACAAGTCCAATTGTAACTTGCACATCTGAAAATGTATATAACTTGTGCATATATAGATGTAACTCACATATATGAAGATGTAACTCGCGCATAAGAAGATGTAACTCGTACACAAGAAGATTTTAGTCGCGCACAATAAGATGTAACTCGCGCATAAAAAGATCTAACTCACGCATAAGAAGATGTAATTCCATATATTATCGAACGTAACTCCAGGAATCTGAATAAGCAAACTCAATGTTTGAAAATATCTAAAAACATATACAAGAGATAAAAAGAATATATTATAGAATATAAAAAATATATTACAAAAAGTATAAATTTAAAAAAAACATTATAGAAAAAATGAATTCGATTGTTATTTCAGTTAAAGATATAAAAAAGTAAAAAAAAAACAGTGTATGATTATGAAATACGTAGTACATTATATTTATTTTATGTGGTTTAATCAGATATTTTAATAAATGTGTAAAGAAAAAAATGTAAATTCAGTTGTAAATTAATTAGTTAAAGATAAAGATGAGTATAGCCGCAATTAAAATTTTAGTGTTTTGATGGAGAACATAAAAGAATTGAAGTAAATAAAAAAGAAAACTAAAGAGAAAGAAATCACAAACCTTGAGGGAAAAGAAAGAAAGCATTTGTAGTGTAGGGAAAAGCAAAAAACCGTATAATATTTGGGACCGGTATACCATGCACATGTTAATACCGGTCCCATGGTATAATTGGCGTTTATAACCAATGTTATCATTTTCAATATCATATACGAGTATAACCATTATATTATAAAATATATTTTCCCCATCATTCTTTTTACCTTTTAATATTTCCTTTTAAACTTTTCATACATTTCATGAGGTGTTTGGTAAACTCTATAACTCACTTTTCTCCCCCCCAAACTTATCTAGTGATATTTCTTAGTGTGTGATGTTGTGATACTACCTCTATTACTACACTGCCTTGTATTGTTTCCCTATGCTGCAAAAATGTCTGACTTCAGTTTGGGAGATATAATCACACAAATGTCACCCGACTCATTATCCCGCCGCACATCTATCCAACCTCCTGTTTTTAAAACCTGCATTTGATAAATACATGTTGTTGAATTTCAAATCTCAATAATAACTAGCACACATTTGGTCAAGTATTCCTTTTAGGTCAATATTAAAAGTGTGAACTTTGATCACTGGCCAGATGTACCTGGAAGGCTCAAAACAACATACATTAGGAGAAGAGATCTTGTCATTAACAGGCATGACATAGTGTGATAAACAAACATATACAGTGTATAAATAAATAGACCAAACTAACACACCAGTATCTCAAAGAACACTTTTTCACTTTTTGTCATTGCTCAGATGGGTGCTTCCAAACTTGTCTAGGCAAGCAATTAAAAAAAGACATGTACCCCCAATTGAAGCAACTAAAATAACATAAGAACAAAGGAAGAAAGTCTAAGAAAAACAACACTCATACACACATACACATACATAGTGAAAGCCCGCAAGGGACATATGGCTTTTGCTTTCAGCTATGCATTCAACTATGCATTTTATGAAACACGATATATTCCTTTTGCATTACAGCTTTAGAAAAAACTGAAATATAATGCAACAAGAGTAAACTTCAAATGGTCAAGTTGATTAAAGTGGCTTAATAGTTCTACTTCATCATGACTTTGACATTGCACCTTTAGATCAATTGGCTGAGAAAACTAAAGAGTGTTTTAACTATTTAAAACTGAATCCAAAATTAAGATTTAAAACCAGAAAGTGATTATTAGCAACTAAATTGTCAACATGTAAATTTTGGAAGTTTCAGATATCTCGTTAGGTGTTTATACAACATTGAAAAACAAACACACAACAACCTTGCGATTCTTGTATGAACAAATGGAAATAAAGAACCCACTTGTGCATGTGGACACTTTCAGCTTTCCTCATATGGGAATGAAGAATCGTCTTTTATGTTTTCGTTAAAATAGAATTCATCACACCAGAGTTGATTAGAACTCATACCCTGAATTCCACTAACCTCTGAATTACAAATTTTCTGAAATTGCAGTATAGTTCAAAATTTATACCTTGACCAATGACCCTAACAGGACAACCTTCTCCTTTATTGTTTGGTCAAATGAAATAGCATACCTGCATTGAAACATTGAAACAATGAAATGAAATAGTGTACACAATGAAAAATGTAAATGAACGAAATGTATTGTTACTAAAAACGTGCATAGAAACCATGAAATAAGGATATAGTAATGAGAAACTCAACCAAAAATATAGGAGAAAAGAAAAAAGGGGGAAGATATTTCTTATTGAACATATATTATTACATACACAAGGTACATAATATATGTAAAATACCACATACCTTTAAAATATGCTTCCTTGGAAGAAGTATCAACACCGATGTTTTACTACACATTTTTTTAGAACTCAATCACCATTACGTTCACTATACAGCATGTTATAGACAAATATAGAGTCACCTTATTGATCAAATGACTTAGACCTTAAAAAATAACTTGGAATGAACAATTAATACTCACTTGCACAATGTGTAACTAACTACTCACTTGCTTTATATACTCAAATAAGTTAAGAAGACAAAAAATAGGTAAAGATCTTCAGAGAAAATGGTGAATGACTTGATATTTAGAACTGTGTTGTATAGAATATAATTTGCAATTATGTGGTAAAATTTAAGGGAGATTTTGATTTTACACCCCAGTTGTTGGGTGATATTGGACTTTGCACCCCATTTTAAAAAAACTTTGAATTTGCACCCCATTTCACTTAAAAATCCTTTGATTTTGCACCTCACTCATTAATTTTTCTTCACAAAATGTTATGTGTTGGGGTGTAAAATCAAAGTTTTTCCAAAATAGGGCGCAAAGTCCAATATCACAAAAAAAGTGGGGTGCAAAGTCAAATTCCCCCAAACTTTAATGGCCTAAATCTTACATTCTGAAACGGATTGAACAAAACCACCATTTAAAACAGCTTAAAGTGTAAAACCTTTAAGTAAAAAAAAAACTTGTTACATTAGATAAAAAAGATTGAAATTGAGAGTTTTGATATACGTGGTATATGTTAGCTTGTAACTAATAAAAGAGTATTCTTTGAAAGATTAAACTTAGTAAAATAATTTGTACATGCAAACTCACTAAAATCAATTCCTTTCTACTATGCTTGGTCAATCGATTTTTTGTAATATATACTCCTACATTACAGTTCCAGTGGGTTGATAAAATCATTATGGGATTTTGGATCTCATGAATGGGTCGATTTCCTTAACCGTAATAAAAAATAAAAGTCACAATTGAAAATAAAAATACCACATAAAAACCATAAAAGTGGAAATTTATGGTGTGAAATCCAAAAAACCCAAAGACGTATAGACAATCCATGGGCACATACATATATATTTTCTGATTCAGAAAAACCTTTGTAAGGAATGAAACCTTTCAAGACTAAATACAAATAAAATTATAGATTCTGCACTGAAAAGTTTTACTACAAAGAAACAAAAAAAATACACATTAAAATTAAAAAAGTTAGAAACCTGAAGCAAAAGAGTTTCTACTCAACTCTAATGTTGCTGAAATCAGACAAAATGCAGTAGAAAAACGAAATAAGAGTAAGTTGTATTTAAATTATATGGACATGGAGTGAAACTAAGATGTAAACATGCCTAGGGACAGGGGCGGCTTTGAGGGAAGTTGGGCCAGGCAACTGCCTTGGGCCTCAACTACCAAGGGGGCCTCCAAAAAATTCTACTCCGGTATTAATATTAGGTGTTATTCATAGACCGCCAATACATCAAGCGGCAACTGCAAGCAGAAATCAGCTTTATAGTTCCCTTTTGACTATTCGTCCTTCATCAAAGTTGTAGCTAATGACGTCTTCTATCCAACACAACTTTCAAAACTGGATTTGAATCATCCAATAAAAATATTTAAATAAAATGGTGGAAGGTCGCATTCTGAAATCTCAACGGAGATTGTCTGACTTCATCGTCTGTTTTCACCTTGCTTCTCTCAGATTCTCACAATGGTGTCTTCATATGATTTGTAGCCCTTGAAGTTGGCTTTCATATGAAACTTGAATCATGTTTTTTGGATGTTCCTAAGAAACGATATGCTTGAACGATTGACAGAACATCATCCTGACCGTTGTTTTCAAGCTCTATTCGTCTTCTTTTGATCCCGTAGCCAATTCTAGAGCTCTTTTGTCTTCAAAACTTTGTCTTTAACACCTCACTGATCTCCAATGCTCCTAATCAACTCTAAAATGCTTCTCAACTCGTCCCTATTGCTTCTCAAACACCGGTGCCACGCTCAAATTCCCTCATTTTGACTCCGAAAATACCAAAACTCGAATCAACAGTCGATAAATATGACTTGAGCTTAAAATTGAGACTTATGACACTTTAAAGTTAGGAAAAAACTATCAAAATCCGATCTCA